ATGCCGAACTGCTTTCAGAAGCCAACGTTAACGCGTGCAACCAGCTGGAAATCTACCAGCAGCTCTATGAGCACTGACAAACCCTGAGGAAGGGCAGATGCAGAGATCTCTCTCAGACTGCGTGCATGGCTAACCCCACCTCGCTCCTCCAAAGCGGCGCTCCTCAATTGTTTAACATACAGATCTGTATGCAAAACTGGCTCTGATGAGGCTTTTGGCTGAGATTGCAACAGCGACTGGGTATCAAAAGGCTGCTGGCTGGCATGGTTTACCATCAGTCAACGAGAAAAGAATTATTTTTCTAATAACTTTATTTTCACGAGGTACAATGGCCAGGTGACTAGTCCTTTAGAGCTTTTGTATTCTGTAGTATGAGTCATCCAGAAATGTTCAATATTGTACAGTTATTGATTCATGTAGCCTAAGACCTTCAAGCAGAGGAGTGAAAGATGGCCAGAGTAACTTCAGTTGATCCACACAAGGAAATCCAATTACTTCGTTCTGGGCATTGATGAAATCCCATCTTGCACCCAAAACACATGAATTGCCAACGTTTGTAGGAGAAAAAGCCACTTACAGAGGAAAATTACACCAGTTTGCTCAAGTGTACTGAACTGTAAGAACAGTTACCTAGAGAAAAATAAGCGGAACAATATTCTCTATTTAAAAAAACCCAAACCAACAAAAGGCAAATTGCAATGCAACAAGGCACAAGTTATGAAATGCTCCTATCATGGGCAGCATTCACTCTATTTCAATTTGCATAACTTCTCACTGGAAAATATATCTTCGTTTCAAAGACAGACTTCTTTATATTAGTTGAAGACAGGTTTCTATGTGTATTTTCCTTGACTCAGCAGTGAACTGCACAGCCTTCTTGGCAGACAAAAATCAACCAAGTGCATGCTACACAAAAAAACCTAAAACCATTATAATGTGAAAAATTAAAACCATTATAATGTGAAATTAAAAATGGGGTTTTGTTCCCCTTTTTCTTGGCTGACCACTGCAATGAAAAGATTAGATTATAGGGACCAGAAGTCTGGTTGTCCAAGTAACTTCTATTGTGCCTTTTGGAGCCGTCCTGAACCCTGTTGTGTCCTTGTCCTCAAAGGCATTCTGCAAATGATGAATTGCACCAAAATATATTATAGGGACAGTTTTAAATATTGCTCTTCATTGTTACAAGAGCTGTTTCCATTCTTAAATATTGTAAAAAGGTTGAAATGACTTAAGATTCTTTCTTCTTTGTAAATTTATCACATCTTTTCATAGTGTTGTCTTTTCTATTTCTCATTAAGTCTTTCCATTTTTCACCTCTTAACACTGCTGTCCCCCTGTTTTGGCTCAATCTTTTCTCAAGATAAGGTTATGCTACTACAGCTGAGCCAGCACGGATGAATGCAGAGCTACAATAACCTCAGTGTACGTCTCCCACCTCACTTTAACACCTGTAGTGTTGTTAAGCCCCAAAATTGGTTTCCCCCAAGAGAGAAATATCTACAAAAATGAAGACGCACAGTTCACAACATTTGCCTTCATTTTGGAACCTTAAAGATTTGCTCTACTCAGTTTTTCTCCACAGTCACAAGGACTATTAACACATTACACATGGAACAGGCAAGGTTCCTGAACGATAACGTGGCTGAGGAACGCAGAGCAGCACCATGAGCATGGCAACATAACCTGCTTTATGCAGCTCTTGGCATTCACCTGCTGTTACATTAGCAAACAGGATGGGAGTTCAGCTCCACCTTTGTCAGCATGATACAGCCAAGCACAGCACATCCTCACCTGCTTTCCTTAAGCCAAACAAGGCCAGAACATCCTGATCCACAAAAAAGGACACAGCAGCTGCTACCAAAGTTGGCCAGAAGCTCAGCTACCTAGCCCTCCTGCAAATGCTGGGTAACCACCTTTAAAACCTCCAATCTGATAATTTCAGCCTCAAACCACATGAAAATCTGTACATATAAATATAGCCTTTTTATTTTCTGTACAGCTAGTGAATTTTTAGACAAATATATATGCCCTGGACAACTTATTTCTACATGATCTTCTGATGAACCGCACAGAGGCAAGTTCAGGAATAAACTGATATATCTCTCACTTAAATCCCAACGAGGCAGTGAGTCATAAATGGTCTTCAGTCCACTCTGGGCAGCTGCAGGCTCCTTCTCAATGGCAACCACCCACACCAACAGCCCTCTTCACTAAATGACACGTCTCTGCTCACTTCCAGAGAAGGGTCATGAACAAGTCTGCCCTTTCTCCTTTTAACTATGCCTCAAGACGATTTGCAGCACACAAAAATGACAGAGCACGCGGAGATCTATGCCACCGCTCCCTGCGTGCAACCAGTCCTATAAATATTAAGTTGAACTCAAGGTCTTCAGCTTTCAGATTCATCAGATATCTTTCCCGGCAAATAAGAAAAACTTTTTAAAAAAATACTTACCTTACAGCCTTCAGTGGCTGAGGGAACTGGGGCTGTTTAGTCTGAAGAAAAGAAGGCTGAGGGGAGACCACATTGCTCTCTACAGCTACCTGAGAGGACACTGTAGAGAGGTCGGTGCTGGTCTCTTCTCACAGGTAATTAATGATAGAACAAGAGGGGACGGACTCAAGCTGCACCAGGGTAGGTTTAGGCTTGACATTAGGAAAATCTTTTTCACTGAAAGGGTTGTCAG